AACAGCAGGTGGGGTCCCAATATTTCTTTCAAGGGCATGTATTTAATGATCTGACTTTCTCCAGGTAACCTCTACCTTTTAAAGGTTCCACAACTTCCCAGTAGTGCCATGGCCTATGGACTAAGTCTGTAACATAGGCTTTTGGAGTACTTTTGAATTCCAAACTATTTCAGGTGGAAAGAAACACTTGCTTTCTTCTTTCTTTCAGCTTGCTACTTTTTATATTTTTATTTTTATTTATTCTTCCTTTGTATATGATGTAAAGTACTGATTTTATTTTTCTCTATGTAGCATGAAATATTCCCAGTACCATTGGCTAAATTAGCCATCATTTCTTCAATAATCTGTAATGCCACATCAACAAATTCCATATTCTTACCCATATGAGTCTATTGTGTTCTTTCTATTCATTTCCATTGTTTTAATTAGTGTATCTTAAAAAATTGCATATCTCAGTATCTAATAGGGGAAGTTTACTATCTATTGCTCTTTCTTCTTTCAAATTATTCTGTTACTTGTGGACTTTTGTTCTTCAAATTTAATAATAGAATACATTAACAAGTGTATTAGTTATGGTTCTCCAGAGAAATAACCAATAACTTGTGTGCACAAGTGCATGTATGTGTATATGTGTTGAGACAGAAAGAAAGATTGGAGAGATTAGTTGGGCAGGCAGGCTAGAGACCTGGGAAGACTTGATGTTGAAGCGTCTGAAGAAGTCTGCTGGTGGTAGAATTCTTCTTCCTTCTAAAAAGATCAGTCTGTCTTCAAAAAGTTTTCAATATAAAATTGGAGGCTTGGCCAATAAAATAAGTCACAGAAATGAAATTAGAAGAAAAAATTGCAAACTTTCTAATATTTCCACTGATATAATCCCATACATATAAATTCCATGAAAATTCACAACAAAGTACTAAAAGTCATAAGAAAGATGGCTGATATCCTATTCTGTTAAAAAGAAATCAATAGTCTTCCACCAGTCTAGCCATAGCTCAACAGATATGTCATTTATGATATTAACAAAATCAGTAAATACATGAAACTTTTATATAGAAAACTTTAGAACTTTATTGAAGGATATAAGAGAAAAATAAGTGGAAAGCTGTGACATATTCATCAATAGGACAATTCAATATACTACTGATCCTAATTTTCCCAAATTAATAGAAAAATTCAATGTCATTCAAATTAAATACCAGAAATACCTTTTGAGGGAATCTTATTGTGATGATATATGAAGTGGGGAATAATATTTGCTCTTTCAAGTTTTAAAATAGTTCTAATCTGTTCAATTTTTGTATTTGTTACGCAAAAGTTTTCAAATTACAGTTTTTCCTGATATTTTCTTATCTGGGTTTTCTAATTGATTGCCTTCATAACATTCTTAGTGATTTTCAAAAATTCTCTGTTATATCCTTAGCTATCTTCCGTCTTTCTAAAAGTAATTCAAATTAGTGTTTTTCTTGTTTAGTCTGGCAAGAGGTTTGTTTGCAGGTTTGGTCTTCAAAAGACAAACAGCTTCTAGTGCTGTTGATGGTCTCTGTTGTCTACTCTGCCAGCTGCTGACTTCTGCCTTGAGCATCCTCATCCGGGATGAGGCTGATTGATGAGCAGGGCTGGCAGCAGGGATGAGGAATGTGGGGGTAAGACTTGCTCTTGCTTTATGACACAGGGCTTACCCTTGGCAGGTAGAGTAAGGATTTGAGTAAAAAATCAGAAGGCTTGAGAGGAGAAGAGAATAATACAGAGAGGAGTACAGAGAGGAGAGACAGAATCTCAAGTCATAGCTGTGGACCAAAAAAAAAAAAAAGTCCTGTAGGGCACTAAGTGACAAGAGATGCACTTATTCAGGGACTATCATAGTCTTCCTCTCCAGAAAGGCAGTACTTGAAATGTTACAAGAGTAGCACATGCCAAGTTCAATAGTTAATTGCATTCTTAATAAACCAGTGTCATCTTATTGCTAAAGAATTCATTCTAGGAAATCATAGGTGTGTGTGGCTCTTGGTGGCTGTTTTAGTCAGATTTTTCACTGCTGTGACTAAAAGACCCAACCAGTACAATTTTAGGGGAGGAAAAGTTTGAGAGCTCAGGGCTTTAGTGGTCTCAGTCCAGAGATAGCAGGCTCTGTTCCTTGGGGCTCAAGGTGAGGCGGGACATTATGGCAGAAGAGTATGGTGGAGGGAAGCAGCTCACATGATGATTGGGAAGCACAGAGAAAATTTGCTTGCCAGATACAAAATATAAACCCCAAAGGAACACTCCAATGACCCACCTCCTTCAGCTACACCGTGCCGTGCCCACCTTTAGTTACCACTCAATTAATCCCACTAAGGGAATAATTCACTGATTGGGTTAAAACCCTCAAAAGCCAGTCATTTCTCCTCTGAATTTTCTTGCATTGTCTCACATGTGAACTTTTGGGGGAATATCTCATATCCAAACTATAACAGGACCTGTAACTATATAGGATGTTAAGTCTTGACCACTCTGAGAGATGAAAAATAAATTTTGCTACTCAGTGTTTTTAAAATTACGTATGCCCTAAATTTGTTCCAAAAATAATTGAATATGTGTCTTTTACAATAGGAGAAATATCTTTATTCTGCAAGCTGATGATGGTGGTTCCTCTTGTGAGCCTGCAGTGATCTTGGGTAGATGCTGGTGGGCCCAGAGAGCTGGCACTGATAGCGATTGAACTCTGCTTGTTTGTAGAACATGTAGAGCATCCTAATCTGAAAATCCCAAATGGGACCAGCTGTGAAATTAAAAACTTTTTGAGCATCCACTGGGTGCCACAGCTGAAAATTTCACATCTGATCTCACATGCCCAACATCAAAATGTGGACACACCAACAATAACATTTAAAATTAGCTTTAGGCTACAACTGTAAGGAATACACTTTATGAAAGGTATATAACTTGAATCCCATTCCCCAAGATTTTTCATTATGGTTATCCAAATAGTCTAAATTTTGAAAAAAAAAATCTGAAATCTGAATCACTTCTGGTCCCAAGCATCATAGATAAGTAGTACTCACCTGTTTCCATTGTTGACCTATTTTTTAGTCTGAGATGATGGCTTCAAAATGCTTTATAGTGCTGTCTAGGCCCCCTGATTCTAAGGAGGTTGAAGGTGTTGAAGCAATTTTCAGTTCTGTTAAACTCAGAGGAATACGTTCTTAACTGGCAAATTTTTCATTTGTAGCTGCCATTCAGCCTAGTTAAGGTGAGGTTTGGGGGAGATAAAACGGTATTTCCTCTAGTGGATGAAATGGATAATATCAGGTGCATATTGGGCTGAAAAGTACAAAAAGGCAAAGGAAATATATTGAGGAATTCTTGAAGGAGAGACAGTGGTTCAAATCCACAGCTTAGATAGCAAAAAAAAAAAAAAAATCCTGGAGGATCAGGTGGAAGTCCAAAGTGAAGTTCCCCTTGCTCTCTTGTTCTCCCACCAATGGAATAAAAATGTGTCTAAAGCCCTCTGTTCAGCATGTGCAGCATCGAAGGTGTTCAGTAAGTTATGTTTGGGTTTTTATTCTATTTTATTTCCCTTCTTTTTGTCTCTGTCTTTTCCTTCTCTTTGCATTTATAATCATTTTTTATTGTTCAGATTAATGCAAAATCCATTCAAAATATCAGATAAGGACAATATCTGGCAGTCAAGTAAATGCAAATTGGCTTCGTAGAAATCTCAATTAATAAGTTTTTCTCCCTCTGCTCATAAAGAGCCTTATGGCAACATGCTGATAAAATACTTCCCTTTTCCTGAGAGTCAGTCTTTTAGATTTTTGTGCTAGAGTTAGTGTTTGATTACTTTTAAACTTTTACTTCATTATAAGTTAATAGAAAAACAATTTGCCAGTATCTTTTAAAGTTAACATTCATCTTAAGTAATGACACAGAAGTTCTACTCCATTCTATATACCTAGGAGAGTATATATCCACCAAAATATGTGTACTGCCAATAGCCAAACGTACACCTGCCAAAGCATTGGGAAGAAATAAAATTTGCTAAATGTCAGTCAAACATAAGAATGAACAAAAGATGTCAGACACAGGTTACAGACTATGTGATTTCTTTTTTATGAAGTCCCAGTTGAGGCAACATGAACCCATGGTGATAGAAATCAATAGTGGTTGCCACTTAGTTGGTAGGAGGACTGTGGTAAATGTCAAAGGGGTGTGTGGAAACCTCTTGGCTGTTATAAGATTTTTAAAGATTGATCCAGATAAAGTTTTATGCTAACTGTATGCAAATATTCATTAAACTGTTGAATAAAATTTGTGTAATCTATGCATATCATTCACCAGAAATGTATGATTTTCATTCACCCCTGCAAGGATAAATGATATGAAAGGCATATTTTTTTACTCAGGAGAATTTTGACTTGACTCAGAGTCAGTGTTAACTTGACTCTTCATTCTGTGGCTACCAAGGTGAACTGAGCTCTTGTGATGTTTTTATTTTCATCCTCAAAGCTCTCCAGAGTGTTTTTAATTGAGTAATTACCATTCTGCATTCTATTTATCTTACACAGGTTAGAAATAGTTTGAGGAAGGTTAATGTGCAAAGGAAAAACCTTCCCCCATTGGAAAAATAACCAAGGATGGGCTGCAGAATTAAGAATGGGATAAATATGATTTAGAAATTAATCACAGTATACTTTAGTTTCTTTATATCCTTTTTGTAGTACTTACATAGGTTATTTAATGGGAATAGATTAATACAAAGGGAAAGCTTTTGTATTAGAATAGTGTGGCCAAATTTGGATTTAAAATACATAAAATAAAAAGTGGTGATCAGTGGAAATTCATGATAAACTCATTAAGAGCTTTGACTATTTAGCTGATTGGTAGAAATAGCTTATCTGATGTTTCTTCTTATACTGATGGCTAGTGAATTTTAGTATGTTTATCAAAATCCCTTTGGACATGGGGTCTCTAGTTCTCTTAAGTAAGAATAACTTCTGGCTCTCTTTCAACTTGTTTGGCAGGCTGCCCTGCAAGTCGGGGGCCATGGAGAAAGGCTGCACCAGTGTCGTGAGGTCATGCTTCTAACGTACAAGTCCATCCCCATGCAAGTGGACGGCGAGCCCTGTAGGCTGGCCCCGGCCATGATTCGGATCTCCTTGAGGAATCAGGCCAACATGGTTCAGAAGAGCAAGAGGAGAACCTCCATGCCTTTACTCAATGAGTGAGTCTGCTCCTTGCCTACCCGGGTTCCCATGAAGACCCTGACGAGCAGGTCGCAGAGCATGTGCATGGTCTGGGACCGCGCTATTGGGAAGGGGAGAGAAGCCCAGGAAACTCAGCAGTCCCTGGTGTCTCTCCTGGGAACATATTCTTTTTTGCGGTTGTTGTTTATTAAAGGATCCCTTGACCCTTTTACTTGTTACTGTATGACAGATGATTCTTCACTGGCCACTTGGATACACACATATCCTGGCAAAAATCATAAGAGAGATTTTAGGGTCATACAATGTACCCACATAAGGCGTTCTTTTGGTTTGGGTTTAAGGGGCATGCAACTGGCCTGCTCTTTACCCGGTCCCTGGGAGGGTGGTGTTTCTCCAGTAACAGAGGTTGGCCGTGCTGGCCTGTGGTTTGCCTCTGTTCATTTCGCATCCCCTTCTGCCTGTTGGTGAATGGTGCCTTTCCTGGTGTTTCCATCTGGGGTCCTGTGGACTTTGGTGCTTCAGCTCAGTTCTGCTTTTCTGTGCAGCATCCTACAATCCTGACTTAACCAGACCTATTATTTCTACTCTTAAACACCTGGTATCCCTATTGGGCTCTTTTCCTGTTTTTAGGTGTTTTGATTAAGTGAATTGAGGTAAGGCAATAATGACTCAATAACTTAGAATGCATATTTGTTTTTCGATGTGCCTTACTCCAATTGGTGATGTAATTGTCTGTTTGGGATTAGAGAAGTGGATGGAGAAAGAAGGGGCTTTGGGGCACTTTTTGAGTACTTTCTGTGTATCATGTCCCTCTGCCTAAGGCCATTTCAGGGCTTAGCTTGAGCCATTCTCTGTCACAGTGAGCGACCCTCAAGAAACTTCCTGTTTGTGGCCTGTGATGCATGGTTACTGTTTGTACTGAATGGCTGGCTTCCTCAGTATTGCCTGTAAAGCCACATGCTTTGCCACCTGTTCCTAGAGTCAAGGTGATAATCCACAGAAGTTCCTAGAATAACCGCTGACACCAGTGCCATGGCTCCCATAACCTCTCTGGGGTGGCAGATGTCTAGGAAGGGCGGCAGCCAGGGCTCTGCAAGTGTTGTGGTTGGCATCTGCTTCCGAGTCCGAGGCTGGGGGAGAGGTCTTCTCCTTCATTCTTCCCCAGAGCCTGGATTTTTCTGGAATGTTGCCCAGCTCATCTTCCAGAGCTGCTGTGAAGTGAAATTTCTTGCTTTATTTACATTTTGCAGCCGATGAAACTCCTAGCCCATTCCTGATGCTTTTTATCCTTCTTACTTTGTCCTTTCTTCTAGGTTGAATATATAATTGATGAGTTTGTATGTTTCAAAGGTGGGATGTCAGCAGTCGTACCTGGTTCACCACATTTCCTCTAGAAATGAAAGAGTTAAGCCATGAGCCATTGGTTTGGCAGAAATCTATGAACTAATAAATGAAAAGCCACTTCTGAAGTTATACCATAACCTATGGGGTCAGGTCACATTGATAGATAGTCTATTAAGAAGAGATCATGAAGCTAAATGTCTTTGATGTCTATAAACAAAGAGCTCACAGCCTCATGCCTAGTGTTTCTGTATTTTATAGACATGAAATTGTATTCAAGTGTTTCAATTCCAACAACTCTTACCCTCTGTTAAGAATTAAAATTTGCTAAGTAATCATATTGTTTAGAATTTATGTGGGCTTTCTTCTCATGTAAAACTAAATACAAGTAGTTTTTCTTTTTTCCCCCTTCTTTGTCCTCATGGCAAATATGACACATGATGTCATTTCCTGTACTTAGCTGGGCAGGTATTTAAGAAGCAGCCTCAAAAATGCAGTTACTTTCTCCCCACCAGGGGGCAGTGGTGTTTTCATCAAAACAGCCCCAGGCCTATGAAAGACCTATGTAAAATGGGAATAAAAACATGCTTTTCATTTCTTAAAAAATAATTTAAAAATGAATAAAAACCAAACATTTTATTAGTACAGATGGAAAACTATTATTCAACATCACAGTTTAAGCATATCAATACAGATAGCACATTTCTAAAAGAAAGCAAAAACCTAGTTACTAGTTAATACTTGCTCAACTGAACGATTTCTTTCACCTTGATCTTCATTCATTCGTCCTTTGCATTTAGATGGCTTCTATTTCACTGGAAGTCAGGTTTTGAAATCTAACTTTTTCCATGGGATTTCCAAGTGGAGGGAGTTTTAAGTTGAAGGTCGGGCTTGCCTTTAAGACTTCCTTCCACCTCTGGCACTCCAAGCATTCCTCTGACCTAGCCATTGTGTGTGAAGTTCACTCTTGCATGTAAAGAAGAGCTACTTGAAAGACGTCTCATTCCTTTATTTTCTGCCTTCCTTTCTTCCTGCCTACCTTTTTTTCCCCCTTTCTTCCTTGTTTCCTTTCTTCTTACTTTATCCACTAGGACTAATTTTTTTTTTCTGTTTTATTTTATTTTTTCTGTTTTATTTCTCCTTTCTTTCATATTAGAGGAGAAAGGGAACTGCTCTACAGTGTCTTTAGAATCTTAGCTGACACACCTGTGTGTGTTCCCCATAAGGGAAGGCCAGCCATTCAGGTCATCTTAAGGAATGTGCCTGTCACACAGCATGGAACTGGGACGGCTTGAGATTTCAGGGCTGTGGCTCCCTGCACAACTGCTTTTTCACCAGGACAGTGCTGCTCTTCCTCCTGAATCTGACCTTTCTCTGGGAGGTTGCATCTTAGACCTCTGACTTCAGCCTGGGTTTTTGTTTTTTCCCTTAAAATTGAAAAATCATACCCAAATATCTTAATTCACATTTTTACCTTAGTATCCCATAACATCCTCAAATTATATGCTAAAACCTGGACTCTTTAATGATTTCCTCGGCTTCTCCTTCTTGCCATCCACATGAGCCTAACCCATCCAGGTGTGTGAATGGAACCACCCTCCATTCATTCACAGTGACCTGTGGAGTCATCTCAGTCAAGTGTATTTTTTGACATCTGCAGACCAGCCACCACTTTCTTTGAAATCTGCCTTCTATTTGTGGCCCAAGTCTTTGACTCTCTCCCTGAATGTCTTCTCTCCTTGTAAGACAGCCTTAGTTCCAAGGCCATATGAGTTACCTCTTGCAGCATTGCTGAAATATCCTGGGGTTCATTTCCCTGCACCCTCTGATGCTGCCCTTCACATAGTCTCTTCCAATACTCAGCTACGATGATGGTTTTTCCAGAAATGAAAAGCCCCATTCCTCAGCTTCACAGCCTTCCTGGTCATTGCCTTCTTTGTCCTCCTTTCTTCAGGCTCCAGAAGTATCCCTTTCCCTAAGTGTCCTTTCTCTCTAGTTCTAGGTGTTAATTGCCCCCTTGCTTGGCTTGGTTGCTTTCATCACACAGTTTATTGAAATGGGGCAATTGCGGGTTTATTTGTCTCTGTTCTTTGGGGAGGCCCTCAGGTTTCCCCCTTGGGATCCCAGTGCCTGTCCTATCAGTGACTCCCCCTGGAGGAGATTCATAATGCCATCTCGATCACTGTGTTTCTCAGAAACCGTTACAAACATAACAAATCTAAAAAATCACAAATATAATGATGCTGGAGAATATGTTTTGATCACCTTTTATTGTGAGTAGAGGATACATATCGAATAATTCCAGGTTTTTGGGTGCTAGTGTTCTTGCACAGCCTGGGGAATCTCGAAGGCTGGATGAAAGCATAACTTTGCTAATCTCAAGGAGGGGTGTGGGAGGCCAGCGAGTGGCTCCATGGGGAAGTATGTGCCTCCTCTCCTTGGTGTCCTGGATGACCTGAATGAAGCAAGGGCGGCCATGGCCACGCCTCCTGTGCCCGCAGCCCACCCTCCCGCATTGGCCTGTGTCCGGTCGGTCTGTGGCTTGCCTGGAACCAGCCCCTTCCATGTGTCCTGTCGGCTTCATTGCTGTCACCGGCTTCTCTGGATGATTTCCATGACTGGCTTGATTTTCCTTTCGACCATTGTTGGTGATGCGCTCATTTAATTTCTGTTTAAACTCTGTGTGTCTCTCTTTCTCTCCCCGGCTTGCTCCTTGTCTGTCCACGCTGTCCTGCTGACTCTGTCTTCGCTGCTCATTCCCCGCCGCCTCTAGCATCCACCAGGTGCAAGCTGCGGACCTGAGGCGAGTGTCTGCTCCCCCCGGCTCCTTCTCCATGTGAGTACAGTGCCATTGCGTTTTTACACTTTGTCCCCAACCTCTCCTGCTCCTCAGGGTTCCACTACCTGCGGCGTCCTTTCCCTTCACAGGTCTGCTGCTCTGCTGAGGACACCTCCTGGCCACGATTGCTGTCTGGTCCCCTTCTTGGATTTGAAACGGAAGCTCTGATACCCTTCATGCTCTCTGTCTGCATCCATCCTTTAGGATTAATGGTTTCATTCAGGTTGCAGGGGCTCCTACAGCATCCCATACTAAGCACTGTTTTTTTTGGACTGCGGACAAAGCCTTAGACCCCTCCATCGCCTGTGGGTTGGGGTAGAGTTGAAGGAAGTGCCTACCCCCTTGATGTGTGGGTGGACCCCCAATGTTATGTGTGGAGTGTTGGGTGTCTGTACGTGAATATTTCTCACTGTAATGAAAGGTCAGTGGCCCAGGCTGGGACCGAGTTAGTAAAATGTATTCTTAGATCCATTTAGTAGTCTGTGCACAATGTACTCAGGATATTATATTTGTTTTCTGCCAAAACCAACCAAATAAAAGGAAGATATGTTTTTTGTAGGATTTCACATTAGGATATTTTGATACCCTTCCTCTGTCTTGTCCTCCTCCTTTTCTCCACCTCCTATGTACTTACCTAGCATTACGTATGTTAACTTACTCTCCCGACAACACTATGCCAAATCATTCTCTGTTGTGTATACAAGGAATCTGATGTACAGAAAGGTTAAGCAACTTGCCCAAGGTCACAAAGCCAATAACTCACACTGGGATTCAAACTCAGGCAATCGGGATTCAAAATTCCTGCTCTTAAACATCGACAATCTGCTGCCTCTCATC